CGAAGAGTAGTTCTATGCCCTCATTGTGGAGCGGACTACGTCCTAGCCACCGCCTTGTGTGCGATTTATTCCCAACTACAGCGTGCTTGTGTTTAGGTGTGAAGGAGTGTGGGCCGGCTCCGTTGATGAAACGTGGCTCCCATCCACATGCCTCCCGGTCTTATTCCTTCGGGTATACCCTGGATATGGGGTGAGTGGTTGGAGATGTGAATGGTGCAGCGCAAGCCACCCATGGTTCATCTGTAGGCGCAGGCGTGTTGTGGCTCGCCACAGTGACAGGCAAATCCGAAACCGGATACCACCAACAATGTATGTTTGCCCCATGCTGAGGCTGATGTTACAATCATAATGCTTCTTCACCGCATTTGTGCTAAACCAACTTACACCTAATCTTGGTCTTTTTAAGCTGGATAAATTTCATTCCACTTTACTTGTTTTGTTCTGCCTACCTGAATAATCTTCTATTAACTGGCCACGTTGCTTACGCTAATTGCACTTAACTTCGATTACTTTGTTGCGCTTGTAACATTTTTAAGTACCTTGTGGACATCTGTTACTTTTCAGGGATTCGTTTCTAACTAACTTACTACTATGCTAATTTAGCGAAGAGTTATGCCACCGTATCTGTGTGCATTATCCGATTTATTTTATTTCATCTGGGCGTTTCAAGTGATTGGTTTTACTTGAAGTCACCGGTGTGGCTGTGCTTGATGTGCATGTGGACAAGGTGCCCACTGTCTATTACCCGCTACCTCGTCCATACTGGCTAGAATACAGTTAGTCGTTGCTGGAGGGGACGGTGTGCACGGTCCTTGTGGTCGTGCTTGGCTCGAAGAGGGAGCATTTCTTAATGCCTATCATTTTCTGCATCAAATGCCTCTTTTCCTTCAGTCTTCTTTGGGGGAGCTCTGTAGAGTCCCAAAACCTACATTCTGTCTTTGATATACACGTTCATTGCTGACCAATTGTACATTAATGTAACTTGTTTATAGCTCCCTTACACCCGATTCGACACTCGTCTACTCTGTACCTTACGTCGCTAACATTTGCTCCTTTCTCAATTTATCCGCCCATGTATTATTGTAACCCATTGGATATGGTATGCTGCGTCCGACTTCATTTACCTTTTGATATCGGCACTCGATTGCGCGCAACATCTCGATCTAGTATTTACTAGTCCTACAGGGGTTCATTGATCACGAGCTCTTCCAATGAGACCATGCTGAGTCATGGAATTGGTCGGTGAGGAACGCGCCACCATCCCATGTGGACTAGTGCGCAATTGTTCACTTCCATCACTGATAAGCTTTAATCCACAGGCTTGGGTGCACGACCTGCAGACCACCTCTCAGGAACATGACCTTGGTCCTTCCAGATATTATAAATTCGCTTCTAAAGAGGAAACCAGCATCTTGATCTCCTGGGCATGGCACTCGGGAGTTTGAATTCATCCATCGTTTTTCCCATACCTAAAGCCTACATGCGTCTCTACGTCGAATACCCTATCTAGGTTTGGCAGCTTTGGTTAAAAGCGTGACTTCACAGTGCTCGAAATCCCATAATACCGAGTAAGGAAAAATGTCAGGTTTGCGCCAACTTCTATACCAGGATTTACCGGAGAAACCAAGCCTGTTCAGTGGAGGCTACGATGAGACACTATAATGCTATCCGAAATACTGAAAGACCCTAGCCAGCTATGCCGCTACCTCCTGAGATTCAGCCCGAACACAAACCTGAGAGTCCATCGTCTCAACCTGGCAAAACAATAGAGCTGGTTAGATTGGAGACGGAGCTTCTTCTCGCTACGTGTTTGTCACATAAGGAATTCACTCCCGACACCTGTTATTTCAGCCTCTAACTTATGTGTGTTTAAAGATTTCTTCGACAATGCGCTAGTCGCGTTACATTACCTCGTATTAACATATGAGCCATAACCATATAAAGGCAGCAAAGCAGCCTCAACCCACATGTTCTATTTTGGAAAAACCAAAGATGGTAACGTTTAAAGTTACATAAAACCATGTGTGAATAACAATTCAGGCAGACAAATGCTTGCTCAGCAAACACTGTTGGCGGGTTCGCTGTTTACAGCTGTTTTCTATTTCTCTTGAAAACTCACTCAAAATCCTGCGGGACATGTTAAGCCTAAACTGCTTTACTGGCCGTAAATCATTGGCAATTAGCCAAGAAAACCAGCACGACTTTGAAATGATAAATTTAAGATATCCTGCTATCCAATGCGCAACATCGTCGGGTTGTTAAACTACGCCCTAGGCATGCGTTTACCCATAGGCTTGGGGTACATAGCTTGCAGACCAGTTCCCAACAACGCGACCTTGGTGTGCTCAGTGACATCAACTGTTCTAAACAAGCGGAGGCAGTTGCGAAAGTGACAACCGGCACGTCGACCTGCTGCGGAGGACATTCAGGAGTTTTGACCCATCAGTCTTCTTGCTGAAACACAACCCCTACGTACGCCCCCACGTTAGGTGCGCTATCCAAACATAGCAATACCGACAATCTTGTTTGACGAGCAACCTCAAGTTACTAGAAACACCACAGTACATTGCAAGAAAAAACCAGGGGTGTGCGCAATCCTTCTTACAAGCAAAGGCTGAAGTTAGTTGGCGTTTTCAGCGGACGCTACCGCCGGTTACGCGATGATCGCATATTAGTGTGCCGAATATTGTGTGGTCTCAATCACGAATGCCCCCATTTGCTGAAATCCAGCCACAACACCAACCTCAGAGATAATCGCCTAAAACCGTGAACAATACAGCCCTCCAGAATGTCGACGTACTTATTTCCCTCCTCGGGTTTGCGAACCTTGGAACCGTCTCGCGAACTCTATAGTCCCATTCCTTACTTTGGATATTTTCAATAAAAGGTTGGATGTTGCTCTTAGCTCCCAGTACTTCGTTACCTTGGCTTTGCTACTGTGGAATATCTTTTCATGCCTTTCTACCGGACTATATGTTATGTGGACCCATGGAAACGGTTCATGAGTGAGAATTTTGTTTCTCTCACAGTATGCGTTGTCTATAACTGCTCCATTATATGTTCAAATTCAATCCACATTTCACACTATGATCATGCAGTAGCACATTTGAATCGACAAAAGATTATTTCATAATTCGCATTGCTTTTGACCTTGTCGTTTTCACCCCAACCATCCCACGGTGCTTGTCAAGTACCCCCTATTTTGCCAGGGATAAATCACTTCATTGTGTATTGTGTATTTCGATCCAACCTGGCCATTGTTGCAATGCATCGTACTCTACCACCAAATTTAAAATATTTCCATTCGTCCAGCCTGTTTTGCTTTCGCAGATTACAGTCAGCTGAAAAGACTTATTGGGCGAAGATGTTCTGGCCCTTGTGTCTAGTTCAAGTACCCAGAAACATTTAACAGGGAGAGAAATCCATGAGTATTGGAATTGCCGAGAATGGAACTGGTCAGCAACATGATGATATTGCCTTGGTAACCTGTGCATAACGTGCACATGATGTAGTTCCTGGTGTCTAATATGTTAACTTGGTCTGGTCCCGAAGTTGTTCACACGTTACCTTACGCATTGACCTAATCTGAAGGTCCAATGAACAGTTATCTGGTCGCAACAAAGCCTACGGAGTGACGTAGCGACGCGCTAAATCCTTGATATTCTTGAGCATACACATCGGATCTCAGTGTTGTACTTACATAAAGCCTTAAACACAGCATAACTGGCCGGAGTACAATCGAGGTATTTTAACATCGAAGTATTATCCCCTAATCGGTCGTTCTTGTTCGAAGATACTTCCCATTCGAAAGCAACATCCTAAGGAAACCACCGCTCCAAATAATCATCAATGTCCCTTGTGAAGAGGAAGAATGACAACCGATTGTTTCATTACAAGTCTTGTGTGAGCTGGAGGTGGTGTATCAGTTGGAGCATGTATACTAGTGAGACCTCCGAGGCAGCAGAACAGATTCAAACCGAATGGCCTAGGTTATTTACCGTGCCAAACTCTGCTGGGATTTGATGACGGTCCCTAACTGTTGCTTAGCTGGCGTAAAGAGAGAACAATATTGGTGAACTGCGCCATTGGCCTTGGCACTGGTTAAACAATGTACACAAACCAACGATTTGTATTTTCTTCTGTCTGGATTCCTTCTAACAAACCATTTGTTCCTGGAGGACCCAGTTTTATGATAGTGTAGAGAGTAGCATCGCTCAGTTACTCATCCCCACGTAGAATTCTCGACGGCCCTCCTGCTAGCCATTTTTGTCCACACGCGCATTTATATTTTGACGGCTACCCAACTGATCACTCAACAGGATGTGCGAAGAGCGCACTCCGCCTCTATTTTTAGCTCCACCTTACAGTCGGATCGTTTCCATGTGTGTTCTTTCCTCTTCCGAATGAGGTCCCGTTCATCTAACTGACTATGGTCTGCTTCGGAGTAAAGGGTACTTCATACTAAGTGCATACCCCTCAACCCAAATCACAGAGGGTACTCTAAGATAGGACAAGGAAACCATCTGGTCCTCAGGCACAACATTACGCAATGGATCGTACAGGGCTCCACAGCGCCTCACGGAACTATTTAGAGAGTTTACTTTATTCCGAGAATAATGCTATTATGATAGCGAATAAAAAGGCTCATGAGTTAGTAGCCGTGTTTCCTTAGTTAAGGGCCAGTTCCTCATTCAGTGAAGCCAAGCCGATCACCTTTGATGGAAAACCGTTCAGAATTTGCAAAACTACCGGGTTAATGTTACACTGGCTCGTCTAACTCGGCACTGGTAATTACGCTAATAAGCTGGACCGACATGTCAGACAAGGGCATTTGCACGCTATTTTGACTGTTTATGTAGCTCCTATCCGAGAATTGCGATATCAACTTCTCCATCTATTCTCGCTTACATGCCTCTGGAGCATCACATTAAAATTACACAATTTGCACCTGTGCACTTTTGATCCTGCCCGATATGCTACTTCGTCTACAGAACACAAGAGGAACGGGAGATTTATAATGTATTTGGAATCAAAGCAAGCCAGGGCGGGAGTGGGATAAAAGTTTGTGAGGAATTAAAACCGGGTGAGTAAGCCGATTCATGCGAAGGCCCGATTCAGATGAAGAACAACGACCAGACTTGACAGATGGTGAATCGTATCAAAGTGTAGCAGCAAGACAAGCATGTTGAGTGCCTTGTTAGAGCAGCTCATTGCATAGTCTCGTACTACTAAAATTCACACACGCACGCAATTCACAGCCTGTCCGATGTCGAACAAAACTAGGTTCGTTTAAGAAAGTCTTTTGGCAAGCGCGACACTGCAGCAATTCTAATCCATGCTGTCGCTGCTGGTGTCGCTTCAGTGAAGTGGAGTAGGGAAACTGGGCTTGACACAAATTGCAGGCATATGGCCTTTCTTTCGTGTGGACACGAAGATGACGACTATAATTACTGGGTTGAATAAACTCTTTTCCACAAGTTTCACAGCTGAAAAGAATGGAATGGGGAAAAATCGAGTTACATTGCGGGACGGTAGTAAGTACAGTGGTGAAATGAGCAAGGAGGAGCAATTTCCATTCTATCAGCCAGTTGTTTAAAACGACTCCACAAACCCTGCTTCATCAATGCCAGCAAGTCAGCTGAGGTTGTGTGTCTGAAACCTGAACATGATGGATCATCCGTAAGCACCAATCGATTTATTGATACTGAAAACTGTACCTTGAAAATCTAGCAATTTATGTCGGCGCAACTCCAGCGAAATATAATCAAATACGTTCAAAAATAGAAACTAGTTATGATCTGGCATTCCTCTAGGCATGTACATTTATTGGGAAGATTAAAAAAAACAGGGAAGCTACCTAGAGCTTAACTGATGGTGCTTAGGTCGCAGTTTAAACTAAGCTCACTGAAGCCGATCGATAATTCTGTCAATGAAGTCAAGCGGTAGAAGTTAGGACACCGCGTCGCATACAGAGAGAAGTTAATAAAGTAGAGGCCGACAGGGAACAAGGCTTACAGCTGGGCCGGGGTTTTGTCTCCTAATATCTAAATGGGCTTAATACACGATTACTCAAAGCGTTTTCATAGTACCCAGCTGCTATCAATGAACAACGATTTATCACGGTACAACAGCGGATGCCTGACAAGTCACACAGGATAGTTGGGGTGACAACTACGAAGACACAAAATACGTGAGCCGTCTATTTTAGTGTCTATGGAGTTAAATGCGTTGCTAAATAACGATAACGTGATAACCGAATGTGATCATAAAAAACAACGTGAAGAGCACCGATAGTCAGCGAACTCTGTGACTTATGAGTAGAATGAGTTGGTGGGTTTTTATGCGTTAGTCGCAATCAGCCGACATTTCAGATAACACAACTACCAATCCGGAAAAGCACAGACAACCGTTTCGCCCTGTGGGGCTGCTCGGTGGCTTGCGCCAGCTAGCCCGCAGCTTATGCGACTGAGCCATGGGGAACGGTAGCCGACCATCATGAATTATTAGCTAATGGTGGATGTTTGTGAGAAGTGTAAAGTTCGTAGAAAGTAGAAGTCACGATAAAAATTCACGCACAATAATGTGCCTCGACGGGCAATCGAACCCCGGTCCCACGAATTGCCGGTCCGCTGCTCTACCACTGAGCTGCCGAGGGCTGACGATTAGGTGCGCAACTTTTAATACATGACTTCTGCTTGGTGCGCGAGGTATTGCCAATAAGCTCACAGTACCTGTCCTGGTGTTGCAGATTGGCTCAGTCACACGTAGATGGTAGATTAATCTACCATCGCCCATTGGACATCTGAAGGACATGTACTTCGGTTCATTGGGAAGTGACGGGTAAGTCAGCTAATCTGCATGAGTTAGTCGTAATCAGCCGACACTTCAGATAACACAACTACCAATCCGGAAAAGCACAAGAAGACCGTTTCACCCCGTTGGGGCTGGTCAGTGGTGCGCGTCCTTCAGTACTATTCCGAGCATCGAACCCATGACTGCTAGTAGCTTGCGCCAACTAGCCCGCAGTTTATGCTACGGAGCCATGGGAGACGGTAGTCGACCATCATGCATTGTTTGCTAACTGCGATATAACCCGACCCATTCTGCACTGCCATACAGACATCTGCCATGCAGATGGCAGCGGTTGGTCCTCCAGTGTCAGGGCCACCTGGTAACGGCAGCTGTGAATCGACATAGCATTTATGAATTCCGTACGGATTACTTTGTATTATTATGAGTAGAAAGATTTTGGTGTCTTTCACTTCGTCCCGATCAGCCGACAGTACAGATAACTCAACTACCAAGCCTAAAAAGCACTGTAAGGCCATTTCGCTCTATTGGGGCACGTCAGTGGTGAGTAACCTTCGATCCTCCTCCGAAGTGCGTGAACAATAAAATGAAAAGCACACTCATGAACCGTTTCCATGGGTCCACATAACATATAATCCAGTAGAAAGACATGAAAAGATACTCCACAGTAGTAAAGCCAAGGTAACGAAGTACTGGGAACTAAGAGCAACATCCAATCGTTTATCGAAAATATCCAAAGTAAGGAAGGGGACTATAGAGTTGGATGACGCGGCCTTTGTATTGTCTGCTGAATTCACAGTTGCTCAAAGAATTCGTGGTTCCCATAGTGAACTGAAGTTAGGTGATGCGCTACGCGTCTCAGCATCATGGACTCAACCCGAATACCTTTTGTATCGCAGCTGCAATTACACTGGTTGCGACAATCCGGCAACTAGCTCTTTATTGTCCAGCTTTGGACTCGGAAACGGTAGCGAATACGAGTATAGTGCACTGGGCTTCTGTCCAACGAGTGTTTGTTTGCAAGTTGTCGCTGGCGATTTGGACTGCACAGCTAGCAGTACTGGAGGTGACCTTGAACGCTGCGTCGCATCGCTTGTGCTCGGTACAGGCGGTGCTTTTGTCGTGGAGGCCGATGCGTTCGTCAGCCGTTTTCCCTCTATAACTTATTGCCTCCGGGTCTGCGATCCTGGTGCCATTACCAAATATAACTTTCCCAATTAGCAGGTTAGGATGTGTGTAGGGTAGCGAAAAACGCGGTTTCAGTATTTTGCAACATTAGATTTTGACGTTGTTTTAACAATCAAAACGTCCACTTGTTTTACTGACGTCACTTCCGTTGACATAAATTGTTTTGGTGGGTATCATGCTGCACCGTTTCTCGCTCTGGTTGATTCGCTTCCTATTTTTGTAGCCTGCACAATACAAGTTGGTTTCAGTCGTCTCCAACTCCTATACTGTCCCGTATTAGACCCGGCTCTTACGTGTTATTGATTACCGACCAGTATCCCAGGCGCCACCCAACATGTGTCGGAGTATGTGGCGCAGGTCCGGTGGGGCGGTTAGCAAGACTAAATTAACTCTTCGACCTAGGGATGGCTTTCAATGGCCTAGCTGTATCACAGTATCAGTTTTGTTCTATTTTACTGGCGAAGCCATTATAATTGCCTGCTGCTCAATGGTTTCAGTTAGTTTTCATGCTCTCCATGAGCACAAATATCAATATTTCAATCGGAATAGCTCTGTGTACCAGGTATGACCAGAGGGCTCGCATTGTTAGACCGCTTTGGATCTAACTGACTCACGCCACCACACATGGGGGGAATGCAGTAGCACAATTAGTGGATGCGAGTCCTCTCTTAACCGTTCTGGCGCATTTCGGTTCATCGCATTTACCGATAGTTGGAATCATTGTCGGTAACGACTGTTCTTGCAAATGAACCTACCATCTGTCCGATCACGTGAGATAGGGGTGAGTGATCCTCAACAGCTTCACATTCGCGCAGTTGCCCTCACTTATCGTTGGCGGGTTCGTCACGGGAATGGTGCACACGTAGTCTGGCCGCTTTACTGATTGATACTTGTTCGCGTGGGGCTAGGATCTTTAACGTGCCTTGTAGTACATAGATTTCAGCGACTAAGTGTCAGCGATGAGCAAATGGAATCGAAAATCACAAATTGATCCCCAACTTCCTTACAAATTGTCCCTTGGGCGTAATTATGTGATCGCCGGATGGTGCAAAGAGTTCATTATAGAATGCTACTTCGCAGTTGTGACATTTGTTGAGATCAACAAAGTTTCAGTCTAGTATCTGAGTCCAAAACGGACTAAAACAGCTTTAGTTTCAAGAATCACGATCCGTATGCGACAATTGCGTAACATCGTGCCCAGTGTATGTGGGAAGTTAGTCTGAATCGAACGAGTGCGTAATAACTACGTTGGGTAAAGGTGGAGCAGGGGAACCACTTGACAAAGACGGGCGCACTAGCTATGCGACTGTTTCACAGGGCTGAAGTCGTGCCGTGATAAAACCCGTAATAGCGAGCCATGGAATTCCGGAATCCATCCTGACTATACCTAGATTCATCTAATTGGGCGGCTAAATGGAGTTATTACGCACATACGGTGTTCCGATACTAAGCCAAATCGACAGTTTGAACGCGCTTCACGCCCGAGGTGAGAAGGGCCAACCAGCTATGGAACCAGGCGCGATGTGAGTGATTGGTAAACTCTGGTGAGCGTCAGCCGAGTGAACTAGGGGCGTGCATTGGCGCGAACAAACGGCCAAATATGGCAAACTAGTCGTGCGAAACGCGTTCTCGAAGGTTGTGGCCATGAGGCCAAATACGGGGAAACCACCGTTTCTATAATTCGAATGTGTGGTTGATCAGTAAATAATACCGTCTCTTTCCCTACTATATACATCGTCTACCGAGTCTTCACTTTTGATTTCACAGTCGGATTGGGCGCCGGACAGAGCGGACCGTAGGCAGCAGTACGACAGTGCCGAAGGAGACTTGCATTTGAACCCAACCATGGCAGTCAGTTTTAAACAGTTGCAAGCACTGTCGTACCAACATCAAGTACAGTTCGATAAAGAACATACCAGAATGATTGCAACACTGACAGAGAAATTGTCCGCACAATCAGGCTCGGTATCGGTGAGTTTCGCTATGCCGCTGACGCTAGTATTACTTTGGATCCTAATACCACAAACATGAAGACATGTTTCGCATTGATTTGACCAAAGTCTCAAAAGACAGTGAACTTCGCCCTATGCTACGGAAGTTGGGTGCGGCTGAGTATGGAAACGCGTTAGCTCAAGGCTTCCAAACCGTTTGCTGTTTACGCACACAGGATCAATACTGGATATGCAACGGCTGGGGTTAAGATGAATGCGAATGATTTACCCATCGATGGTGAAAGAGACGATGAGCTGAACAGTTAAACAAAATGTTCGACTCCGCTGGAGCTAATGAAACGGAGAGCGTAGCAATCGTCTACCACCTCTGACAATGATTTTGTACCTAGGGTCATTCCTGTCCCGACAAGGTAAGTGAAGCAGCACAACGTTTGACTTTTCCTAATCCCACCGTCTTTAGTCTGAAGATAGAGTAGAGTGACGACCTTGAATAAATTCTAGGTCTCCTGATGCGAGGTAATCCAAGAAGGTGAATT